GATTCCTATACGGATGAAACAGACTGTTGTGGTTTTTTGAGGTAAAACGAAAACTATATATATATATATATATATATATATATATATATATATATATATATATATATATATATATATATATATATATATATATATATATATATATATATATATATATATATATATATATATATATCGCAAACACTAAATAATATGATTAATATCGTTAATAATTATTACAGAAAGATAAGAAAAAAGCTAAGCGTAAAGTCCATTAAGACGTTTTACTTGAATAAAAGCATTAGAAAAGATTTAAACCTCGTAAAAAAATATTTTTGTAAAGTTGATCTTTCGAGATGACTGATTGACCGTGCGCTTTACTTGCGTAAACACTGATATGGAATGACTCTCAAGTTTGGCTTCAATTCACATTTCCGGTTGGAGGTAGCGTTTCAGTTGTTTTAGATCAATGTTTATGTGAAAACAAAAAAAGAAACAATGGAAGCACATGGGTACAATCTCGAAATATCAAAACCGTTATATATAGTAGACCTGGGGTTCAAAAATTATAACAAAATTAATTTTCAGAACTTTTTCTCAGCGTAGCCTTAGATTATGCTTTGGAAACAATACATAGATTTCAACCATGCATGCATATATTATTATATAGTATTGAAATATCAGTATCGTTATTACCTTCATCAACGCTAGAAACAAGGACTTTCCCAAAATGACACCACAAATCAGCTATCAATTCTTTCTCATCCTTTCTTTTTCTCAACTTTTGCAAAGACGTAAACAGATGGCCTTGAATTTCTGATATTGTTTTGTCGCTGATTTCGCTCTGAAAAAAGAACATGTGGTTCACTGTATAATTTCGATCGTTGTTCTGTGGTCCTACGTATACATCGCAGTGAAGAAGAATGCAAAGTTTCAAGGCTAATGAATACTGTACATTGTTATATTTCGATTTTAGAAGCCAAGATTGATTGCGATTGAAAAGTATATTTTATTAAATTACATGAGAAAAACAATGTCAGTTACAGAGAGAACACGAGACATGAGCCCACGATGCTTGCAGCTGTCCAATAATTCAAATATGTTAAATATGCTAAATCATTACAACTTCCTTATGAAAAATAAAAAAAACAAAAGTCGTTAATTCCTAAAGTTTTTCGGTTCTGAATCTCTTTGTAATGTTTCTAATTATCTAACACAGGCTATAAAGTTCAGATAAGTTATTACATAAATAATTTAATCTGCGTAGTCAAACGTTTACTTCATTATCAAATCATTAAATCTTGATAGTCTCTTTATTATTCTTCCTCTCGATGTTGTTCTAACTTCTGTAGATGGAGGGATAATTTCTGGGATTGTACTCGATTAAGATTGGGTTGCATCAGGAGTAACTAGTGCTTCAACATTTTCAGGGGAGGGTATACTTCGAATTCTTGTTGAAGGAATTTCACCACTAAACATGCCCTCTGCTACAGGATCAGGTTGTACAGACTTCAGAAGCATTCTTCCATTTCTCCTATATTTACCACCATCATCAGTCTGAACACAATACGATCTCGGTGTTTCTTCTTCACGAGTGACAACACCTGGTTTCCATGAAACTTTTCATTCTTACTCTAATTATATCTCTCTCGTGTAACTTAGTAAGAGATTTTGACTGACGATCATAATAGAATTTCTGTTTCTGCTGCTTGAGATTCAATTTTTTCTTTACTGCAACAGGATCTGGAACACGAGGCTTCAACTGCGATATCGTTTGAGGAATTCTTGAACGCAAACCCCTATTCATCAGTAACTGCGCTGGACTTGCTACATCATCGATAGGAGTGTTTCGATATTCCAATAAACTTAAATATGGATCTCATTGATCTTTCTTCGATCTACCTAAAAGATCTTTGATAGTTTGTACAGTCCTTTCTGCTAAACAATTGACTTGTGGGTTGAGAGGACTAACTGTCGTATGCTTGAATTCCCAGCTTCCTGCGAATGCTTCAAATTCTCTAGATGAGTATTGTGGCCCATTATCACTTACGACTTCTGCAGGAATACCATGTTGAGAGAATATCGACTTGGTGTAGGTGATCACCGTTGAACTCTTTGTGTCTGGTAACTTAACAACTTCAAAGTATCTGGAAAGATAGTCAACAAAAAATAGATAGTCCGAGTTATCCAAACTAAATAAATCTGTTGCCACCACTTCTCAAGGTATGGTTGGTACTCTGAAAGGTATCATAGGCTCTTTGGTATTCTCCTTTCTGTGCTCAAGACATACGATGCACTTCGATACCATTTCAGCTATCTGCTTGCTCATCAAAGGCCAATAAAGAGCATCCCGAGCTCTTCGCTTCGATTTCTCGATCCCCATGTGACCATGATGTATTCTTTGTAGCATTTCCTTTCTCATTGCTTTTTTATGGTACGACAATACGGTCGCCTTTCAAGATCATTCCATCTATCACCAACAATTCAGCGCGAATGTTCCAATAGGGTAGGACTGACAACGGTACGCTCTCTCTCTCTGATCTGGCCATCCGTTCTGAATGATATTCAATAATGTCCTTAGTCCTTCGTCGCTCTTTTTTGTTTCTCTAATTTCTTGTAATTTGAATTCTGAAGCTGGTAGGGTTGAACTTACGAGATTTACGTGTTTTTTTTAACGTTTTTTTTCCCATTTCCTCGTCAGTTTCGGGTAATGGGGCTGTTGACAACATATCTGGCAATGCCATTTCTTTAGCTGATTTGTAGACGATAGTGTAGTTGTACTTCTGTATTCTCAGGAGTAATCTCTGCAAACGAGGAGGAGCTAATGCCAACGATTTCTTTGCTATCATCTCCAGAGGTTTATGATCTGACTCGACAATAACTTCCTTTCCGTACACATATTGATGAAATCGATCAAGACTGAATTGCACAGCCAGAAGTTCTTTTTCTATTTGGGCGTACCTTGATTCGGTTTCTGTCAACGACCTTGACCACTGGGTAGCCATCCTGCAACAAAACTGCCCCCAAAGCTGTAGGTGACGCATCACAGCTAATGGTGACCGGCTTCGATACGTCAAAAAACTTTAATACTGGTCCTTCATCTATTCTGAAACCCTTTCTGTTGCTCGAAAGACCACAGGAATTCGATCTCAACCTTCAACAACGATCTGATTGGTTTGCAGCCTGCTCACAGACGTTGTAGTTCTTACGCCAAGCGACGAAATACTACCGTCTGCTTACCCGAGCGCCAAACTGAATTCCGCTACGTCGACCAATCAGAATTTACCTTCCAAATTCTGGAAAGTGACGTCAGTTGATTTAGGAGC